GGGCAAATGCATTAAAATATGTGAAAAATAAATTAAAAAAATATAAAAATGTAACTTTTTTTTTGCATTTTGTGATTCTTAATGAACGCCCATTGGGCAGTTGTTAGTAGGACCCCATAAGGTAAATCAACTGATTTATGACTCAGTTTTTGGTCCATGATTTTTATATTTGTTTTATTCTTAATAAAAAATAAAATAACAAAAATAACAAGTTCAATATATGGATCTATATTATACAAAACAACCTATGTAGTGCTATTCACCAATATCTTCCCTAAATGCCATAAAAAGGTAATGCTACATGAGTCCACTTGTGCCTAGTCATTAAGCTCCCCTCATATTTTTGGACTGTGATTTATGGAGAAGATGGAGGATAAATATTTCTACAGATGAATTATTCAATAAATATGATAACCAAAACTTGTTGCTTTTAAATAAAAAGAATAATAATAATACCTAACAACTTTTTTTGTTAATAATTATCAAGTTGAGTCCACTTGTTGCTTTTTTTGTTAAACTTGTTCCGTGTTCACGGGATATGTCATCCATGCTTATTGAATTGTTGAGCACTAACTCATCTAAAAGCTTAAGTTATTGGAGAGAGGGACAACTTTATTGTTTATATCCTCAACACGCCCCCTCATGTGGCCAGGCTCTTCTTCATAAGTGGTCAAACACGTGCAAATATTTTTTAATTATTGGGTAGGTGGTGAGGTTTAAACACAGGATCTATTGCTTGCTTTGATATCATATTCAATTGTTGACCACCAACTCATCTAAAAGCTTAAGCTATCAAAGAGAGGAGAAACTTTATTATTTATATCCTCAACAATGTTCTAAGGATTTACACCTTATGTTCCACAGGACAAGAAATCATACATAAAAGAGAATATGGTTAAACCACTGGGTTTACATAAATCAAACCAATCAAGGGAAACAATTTCCGGTCAAACGGCCACAATTGCAATGGTTTAACTTTTAAATTTTGAATTATTGTTGTGATCCTGTGTTAGATTTCATGTGTCACTTAAATGAAACTTCATGTTTATCTGAAACCAGAAATCCCTTTTTTTTGTTTTTTTGTTTTTTGATCGACAACAAAAAGAATATTATTAATTAGGAAAATAAAAAGTAGAGGATTGGGGGTGGGAGGATTTGTCTTTTTACTCTTTTTTTGGTATGAATTGCTCCTTTTAAAGGGGGTTTCTCATTTATTTTATTATTTTTATTATTATTATTATTTTTTAGGGAGTGGAGAGCATATGTAGGATTTGAGCATGTATTTCTTTTACTTTTATTATTGTTCTCTGTGGTGACTTCTCCTCTTCTTATACTTTTTTTCCCTCTTTTTAATGAAAATTTTGTTTTGTTTTGTTTTGTTTTTTGTTTTTTGTTTTTTTTTGTTTTTTTTTTTTTTTTTGGTGAACTCAAAAGCATAGATGAAAATTTTGTTGATGCCGATCCAAAATAAAAAAATTACATAAAAGTGGAAGGCAAGAAGTGAAATCCAATCATAGATTTATATAGGAAATTGGAAAGGAAAATAAAAAATACAAGAGGAATTGAGAAAAAAAATTAATTTATATTTCATTTATATTTTCGTCATTTAACTTTCACTTTCTAAATCCCTATTTAAATTCAAGAAACAAACCCAATCTTAAAAGATTAGAAAGGGGGTTAAAAACCGAAGAAGCTCAAAAAGAGGACCAATAGGACACTATTACATAAAGAATCAATACCCTTGAATTTGGTCCAAAAAAACCTTAAAATTGTAAGCCGGAGAGAATATACACTTTACACAACTCTGCAGTTATTCATTCTAGCCTCATTCCTATTTCATAACCTTGGCGCCTTTATCTTTCTTGTACACGAGAAAGATATTCTATCGTTTCTCTGTTGCCATGTGGTATGATGTAAAATATTAAATAGTCAACATGTCAGAATATTGTTTGGGTATAAGATAATCTGTACTTTTTTAGTTGTCATAAAAGGCTCTGTTTGAGACACTCTGATTCCCCAATTAAATTGAAAAGTTATATAAGAACTTGTTATTGCTATACTCATTTTCTTCTCAAGGTAAACATTTGATATATGAAAAATCTCATTATCTTCTTCCCTCTCCCTTTTTTTCTTTTTTATTTTTTCCTTTTAGATATCAATCAGGAAGAGATTGTGGAGGAAGGTAGTCTAGATGCACTGCTCATGCTATTGCGATCATCCCAAAATACAAACATACTTAGGGTGGCTTTTGGAGTATTGCTAATTTGGCAATGAATGGTACTCGTGAATGTTTGCATTCTCTTGGTTTGATATTTTCTTCTTTCCTCATCGGGCATATATATATTTTTTAATATGCGTTCTGTTGGTTTTAAATTTAATTAACACACCCATATACAAGACAAACCAATTTCATTGTTTTCCCCAACATGATAAGCCTTGATCTATTGTTAGAAAAAAAAAAATGTTCTTAAATCAAAGATTTTACCAAATAATTGCAATGGTAGCATAAGCCTTTTTCCTGCATTTGAAAATGTCTTGTAATCCCTCAGAAGAATGTATTTGTTTTGTAATAACACCTTTGATTATTCACATACTAACACATGTATCCTTGAGCTTTTGTTTAGTGTCTTTCATCTTCTCTCTTCCCAGAGGCAAATCAAAGCTTAATAATGAATAAAGGAGGTGCTCGACTCTTGGCAAATACTACGTCCAAAACAGATGATCCCCGAACTTTAAGAATGGTAAGAAGGCGAGAAATTTTATTTTTTATTTATCTCCATTCACCCTATGTAATAGTTAGGCATTAATTTTAGGTGACCAAGCTGCTAGGAACACTTGAACCCAAGTTTTTGGTATGGCATTCAAGAGATTGTGTACATGTAAAATAACTTTCTGTTCAAATAATGCCAAAGGTTACATTTGCACCCATTCCAAGCCTCTCAGGGAAATTTTTTTAAACCATATAAAGTTCAACAATTCCTCCCTCCCTTTTAGATAACTTACAAGATATTCTACTTCATGCTTCCAATTGGGCTTGAAAAAATATTACAATTGTTAACATCTGGAGATATCGATGTCTAAATCCATGCTGTAAAGGTGGTGGCTAATCTTGCTGCTGAAGGTTCATAACAGATTACTGTTTTTGAGTTGTTTCTGTGTGTCCTAAACTTTGCTTGTTGCACGCATGTATGTGTGAGTGAGTGACTTGATGCTCACTGTGTAGTTCTGCACAATTTACAAATTGTTATGTTACGATTCAAATCAAATATCAAAATAAGCATGCACACAACATATTTAACTATGAAGTAAGAAAAATTATACAAATACTGAAGTGTTAAAAAGTTATTTAAAATTTCTTCTGAAATGAATTTTGATTTTTAGTAACTCAAACAAGTGCTCATTCTTCTTTGAAACTTCAAAGTGGTCTTTAAATATTGATTGTTACTTTCTGGTGGAAGTTGGCAGTTCCACCTCTTTTAGTTTTTCCATTTTGGAAGACATATTCATCCTTTAGGTGCGATAAGAACGACCAAACTATTCCTTTTTATTTAATTTTCCAACATACAATCAGTACAAATAAAACTACACCTTTTTATTTGAAATATTTAAAATGCTACTTAGAAAAGGGGGTACTTGTAAAACAGAGACTCACTCCATTTAATTTGTACGCAGCTGCTTAGAATTGTGTCTTATTCTATCTGACATGGAAAATAATGCCCATAGTCCGGAAGTAAAATTGGGTAATACGACAAAAGTTTAGAGAGGCCCATAAATTCATATAGTTTCCCTGGTTATAGGTTTCTAAGTTAATTATGTTGCGACTGTTTGAATAAAAAGGTGTCCCATACTTATTTATATATGCAAATTTATTTTAGATTTTGTTTGTTTATATCTTTCAAGTTTCAAAGATAGTGCTCGTGTGTTGCTCTTGTTCTGCCCATGTCATGTTCTGATCGGGTTTGTGTTCATTATAAATATGTTTGTGGTGTTCTGCAGGATCACCACTATCACCAAGTACTAGAAGGTTGTTATGCTTGTGCATAATATCAACAAATGCAATGTCCATCAAAAAATGGATCGAGAGTTTGATTGGGATCTTCGTTGTTACCTCATCACAGAGCCTGTTTAAGTTGGAGTTACTTGTGTAGATGGAATGCATGTCCTTGAGATACCTGTTGCCCATTTTCCTATGCAAGATGTTGAGGAAAGACTGACTATATGCTGTCTCAACCTATTGGGTTCTGTTATTGCCGAACCCTAGGAGGGCTCTGGACGAGACAAGAGGTGTAAGGTTGTTATATTACTTGTTGATGGGGTTTTCATGGCACATTGGCCTTCTCAAGCGAGGATCTGACAAGGTGGTGATTGTCGGTATCTAGTGCTAGTTGCTGAACGGAAAGATCTCCACAGACGTGGATGCTGACAATGTATTTTGGTGGTGGTGATTGAAGAAAATTTGGGGTTCAGGCCTCAGAATTAATGCAAAACCATTTTTTTGTCTTTATCAGAGGATCTCATATGGGCCAAGTTTTCATATCGTGTGTTGATGTTTTCTAAAAACGATTGGCTTCACTTTCTGTTTCTTTTCAAATGCAGTACGCTTGTTCATCCATGATTTCCCTTGTTTAGCATTGCCGGATTTCATATTATAGTGTTCAACATTGTTTTAGAGCTGTGGGTGGGAAAGAAGCCCCTGTGAAAAGCTGTGGAAGGTGAAAATCAAATAGAAAATGTTTTTAATGGTCAACAAAAAAACAAGCTTATTTGGACCCCCAAAAAAAAACAAAAAATCCAGTTTTGGAAGGTGAAAATGTCTACAGACTAAAGTTTTGTCAATGTCACAACACTATACCAATCCCGCCACCCCACAACCACCTCCACCGCCCCACTGCTGCTACCAACCACCCTGGTCCACCACCACCAATATAACTCAATTGTTCTGTTAAGGCTGTGAAAGAAGCTTACATTTTATTAACAAGTTAAAACCAAACATAACAAAATGCAAAATTAGGAATGCATAAAGATCATTTAGAGGAAGAAAGAAGAAGATTTCTGCTTCAACAATCCTGCCAGAAACGCATTTCAAGAATTTTACAAGGAATTTTCCACTCTGAAACATCAATAGATTAACTACTACTACTTTTAGCACCATGATCTTATTAGTGTGTTGTGATGCCCAAACATGATAATAATTATACAACAAAATATAATTTACAAGAAGCCAGCATTCAAAGTGTCGTTGAGCTGAACTCCTGCATCAGTTCCTCCAAGCGACGACCATCCTCTTTATCGGTCCCTCCCAACCACTCCTCAAGTTTTGCTTCTCTCTCAGCCGTAAATTCATCATAGTTCTCTACAAACGAAACCAATTGATGATTCGACGCACTTTCATCAACTGGGAGTTCTTGTTGTAGCTCATCATCAATCTGGCTTGACACGGGCAATTCATCAGCTTCTGCATCTGGCAGAGTAGAAGTGGTGATTGAGGCTGAAACTGGCAGTGGGGGATTAAGATAAGACACAAGTTTCTCGCCCTTGCTTTGTATCGATTCTTTAGGGTCAAGTTGAGGCCACTTGAAATTGCTGGCTCTTTCTTTTGCTGACTTTAAAACCGATGTCAGATAATTACCAGTTCTTTCACCATCTTGCCGCATAGAATCTGCATTACGACCCCAAGTAGATGGACCCCACGAACTAGTTCTTCCCATATGAAAACCTGAACTTGGGTTATGGATCAACCCTCTTTTAGGTTGTTTTGTTGACATGATCGCTAGAGATTTCTTGATGTCTCCAATCATCTCATCAGCTATAGGGAAGCCGCAGTCTTTCATAGACCTCACCATTGTGATAGAATCTTCCAGATCTTCCGTATGCAAAGTCAACTCCCGAGACTTGTCCATGACATTGTTCTTGAGGTTAATAAGGTTTGGCACTGCATTTTGGGTGTGTTGCTGGACGTAGAAAAGTCCCACCGAGGGCTCATTAGCCACATATTTTATCATCTCTGCCAAGCTTTCAGTTACCTCCACAAAACCATCAACTGCGGAGAATTCATGCATCTTGTTGAAAGCGAATGGCAGTTCATCACTGGTTTCACTAAAGTTATTAAGGGAACCCGATTTCAGAGGAAAATGGTAGATAAAGTAAAATAAGAGAAAAAGAAGAAAATGTTTCAATACATTACAAGTTCTATATAATTTTATTGATGATGCCCAAAAAAATCTTACATCAGTCCAAATTATGTAATATATAATCACATGAGCACATATGAAAATATAGGAGGCAGCAGTAATCACACTACAAAACGGTGGTAACAGAATCTGTGATTTCACTTAATTACTCTCTTTTGAGATTTCAAATTGCAGAAGGTCTTTAACCAAATAATTTTTTTTTAAGTGGCCAGTTAAACAACTATATGTATGAAAGTAATTTCATTATTTTTCCTCCAACTAAACAATGCCTTCCCCTTCCTCCCTTTTTTTTTTTTTTTTGAGCATCAACAAAAATTTTATTAAAAAAGAAAAATGAAAGAGGATAAGAAGTCCTCATACAAAGAAGGAGAAAGAACAAAACAAAAGTACAAAACTCCTAGCTCTAGGGATGGCAAACAGCAGCCAAATCCCTAGAGATCAAGAACAAGGAAACTCCTTTAAAAGGAGGTGATACAAATGCCCAAAACGAAGCCAAGTATACCACCCTATCCCACAAAGCCTCTACGTTTGATTCCTTGCCATCAAAGAGTCTTGCATTTCTCTCCAACCATATAGTCCAGAAAATCACAAAAACAATGCTTGACCACAATGTTTTGGCTCTTTTGGTGCCCCCAAACCCTTTGAACCTAACAAGAAGCATTTGAATGTAGTCCCGCGGAGCAACCCACTGATGATCACATAAGCTGAATCCCTCTTGCACATCACACACCATTGAGGGCAAAGAGAGTGATTAGGCCTTCTTCTTTGGGGAACATCATTAGTTGTGACACCCCTTTGAGCTAAAGGCCACATCAAGAACTTCACTTTATGAAGAACAACCGCTTTCCAAATTTTCTCATGAATAAGAAACAAAGGAATAGAGGGATTATCAATAAGCTTATCAAAAAAGAATTTACAGGAAAAGACCCCTGAAGAACTAAGATTCCATCCCCTAATGTCACGAGAGGAAGAAAGAGATTCCCCATGAAGCAATACCAACAAAGATGCCAACTTAGCCGCCTCCCTATCATTTAAGTTCCTAAGTCAATCAAAATTCCACGAGATGGGAGCCATAAAAGAGCATGTCACCGACGCTATTGAAACATTCCTAGAACGAACCAATCGATAAAGAAGAGGAAAAGCTCTATCAAACGAGATATCCCCTACCCACACATCCTCCCAAAAATGGATGCTCACCCCATTCCCCACTCTCAATGAAAGAAAATTAGACACAAGTGGATACAAGCGAGAAATGGACTTCCACGGAGAACGACAATTGCCTCTATTAACCACGTTAGAATCTCTACCATTGGGTCGAACACAATACTTGCTCTTAACAACTGAACACCATAGCAAATCACTTTCAACAGGAAATCTCCACAACCACTTGCCCAAGAGAGCAATGTTCCTAGCAATGATATTTCCTATAGCCAGACCCCCTTTATCTCTAGAGATTGAAACAACCTCCCACTTAGCCAAATGAACCCTTTTACCCTCTTCACACCCTTCCCAAAAGAAAATCTCATATCAATTTCTTAATTTTCTTCGCAATGCTAACCGGAATCTTGAATATGGACAAGAAATAAATAGGAACAGAGCCTAAATACAGACTTTACCAAAGTATATCTCCCTCCCTTAGACAACAAAGCTTGCTTCCATCCCTCCAATCTTTACCCAATTTTGACAAAAACATGCTCCCAAAGGGACGCCACTCTAGGATCTCCCCCTAGTGAAAGCCCCAAGTATTTGAGAGGAAATAATACAATGGAACATCCCAACATATCCGCCACCCTTTGCACATAGCTCTCTCCCACATTAATACCCACAACACTACTCCTGCTAAGATTGACCTTGAGGCCCGACACAATTTCAAAAATTCCCAAAATCTTTAGCAAACTACCCACCTTACTTTCCTCTTTTGATGAAACAAATATAGTATCATCCGCAAACTGTAGATGAGTGACTCCAACCCTATCCCTCCCCACTACAAATCTCTCAATAACACCCATGTCCTTAGCTATATTAATTATCCGACTCAACACATCAGCAACTAAAATAAACAAAAATGGTGATAACGGATCACCCTGCCTTAGACCGCTAGATGCCCAAAACAAGTACCCAGCCTAAACATTCACAATGACCGACATATTACAAGACAACAAGCAACCCCAAATCCAAATTCTCCACCTAGATCCAAACCCCTTCCTTTCCAAAACAAAATCCATAAAGTCCCAATCAACATGGTCATACGCCTTCTCAAAATCAACCTCAAAGACAACACCCTCCTTATGTAACCCTCTATACTTCTCAACAACCTCATTTGCCACTAAGACTACATCTAATATCTATCGTCCTTGCACAAACGCACCTTGTGCAGAAGAGATGGTTTCCCAAAGGACCACCCTAATTCTCTTAGAAAGCACCTTTGCTAGAATTTTGTAATGTGATGTAACCAAGCTAATGGGTCTAAAGTCCCCAATCTTGACCAATTTGTCCTTCTTGGGAATTAGACAAATGAAAGATGCATTGGTGCATAAGTTAACCTCCCCACTTTCGAAGAACTCGCCAAACACTCTCATAAGATCCCCTTTCACAATGTCCTAACAATCTTGAAATACAACCATTGAAAAACCATCTAGACCAGGAGCCTTATCTCTCTCACACTCAAACACTGCCTGTCTCACCTCACATTCGTCAAAGGGCTGTCGTTGACTCCACAGCAGCTCAATTAATGTCTTCAATCCCTGGACGATCCACTCCCCCATCAGAATAGAGATTTGAATAAAAATTGAAAATCTCCTTAACAATAAACACCTCCTTACTCACCCCTGTCCTACCTCCAAATTTTTAATAAAATTCTTCCTCCTCTTTCCCAACGCAACCCTATGAAAAAATCTAGAATTGGTATCACCCTCTTTAGCCCATTTCAACTTAGCTCTTTGTCCCCAAAAAATCTGCTCCCTTAAAACAAGCTCTTCCAACTTCATCCTGAGCAATGAACTCTTATCCCTTAAAGCCCCAAATAAACCCTCCCCAAATTCTTTCGCATCCAATTTCTCAATATCCCGAACTAACTCTGCTTTCACCTCATTTAGATCATCAAAAGCTTCACGCTTTCAAACCTTTAAATTATCCTGGACTCCTCTCAACTTTCGCATAAACTTAAAACCCTCCCATCAAATGGACTTTACTACTTTCCCACCAATCCTTAAAATTCTCCTAAAAAGATCGATTTTCCAACCACATTCTCGAATCTAAAAGGGACAGGACCACATTTAAAAGGACAGCTCTCAAGAATCACCGGGCAATGGTCTGACACAACTCTTGGCCTTGCCTCTTACCTTATATCAGGAAACAACTCCTCCCACCCTAGAGTATGAAGAAACCTATCCAACCTACAACATAAGATTTTTCCTGAAGATTAGGCCAAGTAAACCGAGCATTACTCAAGGGAGGGTCGAGCAACTCACACTCCCTTATAAAAGAGTCGAAATTCCGCATACTCCTATTTGTAGAAATGTAATGACCCCGACCTTCGATTAATGCTAATTCATGATTAATTATGCTTACTAGTAATTTAGGAAGGATTTGGGATTTATTTGCATGTGTATTGCATTATTTATGTGTTTCTATCTGTTTGCGATAAAATGATCTGTTCATATCTTTGACTTTAAATTACGAATTGAAAGCCTCATCGGCGTCCGAATCAGAAATCGACTTGATTTATGTGCTAGTTAGGATTTATAGAATTTTATGGTAGGTTTAATTAAAATTCGGTTCGGAGCGATTAAATTAGATTAAATAACGTTAAATTACATTAGTTCAATTATTTACGACATTGCCATTAGTGGGTCACTTAGGTACCATTGCTTGGAACTCAATTGCATACACTTCATAACATTTCCTCAACCATTTTTGTGACCAAAAGCATAGGGAAAAGTGAGAGAAGAGAAAACTTACCTTCCATTGAGATTTGGCTTAGAGACTTGAGGAATTGGTAGAAGATTTGCAAAATTGAGCTTCCTCACCTATAATTCAAGACATAAGGTAGAGAATTCATCTTCTCCATTGTGATTTTGAGTTACTTCTTGCATGGTTCATGGTGAATTAGAGTTTAGAGTCAAGTTTTGGTTCTAAATGTTGAATTGAGTAGGAATTCTTGCATGCATGTGCATATCATGAAGTTTGAGGTTGTTTTCATAGTAATTCTTGCATGCATGTCCACATTTTTGTTATAGTCCATGAACTCACCATGTTTTGAAGTTAAATCTTGCATTTGATCTTGTTTTAGAACTTTGGAGTTTCAAGAAATCCATGCATGTTTTGAATTTTGCATTGTTCTTCATGTTCTTGAAGTTTATTTGAAAATTGTGTTTAATGGAACTACCTTTGGGCTTTGATTCCTCAAATTGATCTTTGAAACATGTCATATTATGAGTTTACAAGTGTTTTCCAAAAAATTAACCCAAAAGGATCGAATTTGGTGCATTGTAGTTGAGTTTTGAGCTTGGGGTTCGAATCTGAAAATTTCAGATTTTGGACTCACGCTCGAGCGGGAAACTCCACGCTCGAGCGTACATACTGAGTTCATGCAGTACGCTCGAGCAGGTAAAATTACGCACGAGCAGGAATTTCGTGTATCCAGTACTTTGCCTATGTTTACAGTCCGCTTGAGCGGGGTAATGCACGCTCGAGCGAGGACTTGTGTCTCACGCTCGAGCGCCCATCAAGCGTGAATTTCGTGCATCCAGTACTTTTACTGTAGCTTGCAGTCCGCTCGAGCGGAGTAATCCACGCTCGAGCAGATTCCTTTTGTCTGCATGTCCGCTCGAGCGTAGAAGTCCACGCTCGAGCGTGACCTCTGTTTCAGCAAAGTTTTGAAAAATGTTGTTAAGTGCATTTTTGCATCCCCATCTCATCCTAGACATTCCTAAACCATGTTTAAGACTCCATAATGAGGTTAATGGTTAAGCACACACTAAGATTAACGAAGTAAGTTACGTCTAACTCGAGCGTGTGTTTCAAGCGGATAATTGTATGCGTGTTCGTGTAGGTCCCGCACCTCAGGACAAGTGAAGAGCTATTTTACGATCTAGTTGGGCCGACCAATTGTTTGTGAGTAATAACTCTGTAAAGTTATGTTTAACTTTAATTATTTTCCAATGACATGAGATGATAAGTTCTGAAATGCTATGTTTTGAATGAATGAATGATTGTCCAATTTTCCTTGAAATGTAAACGTGGTACCCTTAGCCGAGGCCCTCGCCCAGGGGACACAATACTGAGGCACATGGTCATGAGGCCCTAGCCCGGGGGTTAATACCGTGGCACAGGCCCTCGCCCGGGGGAAACAATACCGTGGCACAGGCCCTCGCCTGGGGGAAACAATACCGTGGCACGGATATGTTACCTAGTACCGGAGGTTCCATTATGGGACTTACTATGCTTGACTAACATGATATATTATACTAAAGGGAATGTACCACACATGATTTGAATATGAATATGACTGTGATTCTTTTCTGATACGAATATGATTATGTTTCCGAACTGATAAAGGATTGATTTCTTATTTCTGTACTCAATATGGTCATCATTCATTAACCCTTTACTCTGTTATTTTTCACTGGGCTTTAGCTCACTCCTTATATTATGTATGTAGGTGAGCAAGTACGAGACCAGGCCCAGGGTTGATGGCCTACACCCTAGTTTTGTCAGCCAACCGTTGCGCCTCCTGAGGAGGTTCCAGTTGAAGTCAATTGCCATGGCTGTTTTTGTAGTTATGCTAGTCTCTATCTGTTTGTAAAGTCAGGATCTGGAAACTACAGTCTGTAAATATTTGTGAATATTGGTGTCCCTTGACTAGCATGCTTATGAATATAAATAAATTTGACTTACTCTGTCCCATGTACGTCATCACAGCTCATTGGACTTTGTTTATTTTGTCTAGTTGCTTCCGCAGCCCTTTATTACTTGCTAATCTGCTAAGAGGCCTTTGGTAATCCGAGGATTACTGGCCGGTTACGATGCTAAACCTATAGGGGCGGGTTTGGGTCGTGACAAGAAACCCCATTGAGTTTTTCCAAAATAAGCCGAACCACATTGAAATCTCTACAAACACACCAATTAGAGGAACAAAGCCCAAATAATCCCGCCAACTCCTCCCACCATTCCTGACAACTACTAGGCCCATTGGGACCATAAACCCCCTTCAACCACCATTTCTTGTTATCCCGATTCGTAAACCTAATGGACAATGAAAACACCCCAACAACTATCTCACACTCCAATATAACTCTCTCATCCCATATAATCAAAATTCTCCCTCATCTCCCGCTAAAAGGTAAAACAGTCCATCTCCTAAACCTGGTCCCCCAAACACTCCTAATGAAACCTCTATCACATTCCTCACTTTGTCTCTTGAAACATCACTCTATCTAGTTGATGAATTTTCAAAACCTCTTTAATTATCACCCTTTTCCTACAAAACCGTAGTCCTCTAACATTCCAACTCAAAATCTTCATCGAGAACCAACATCACCCCTTGTCTCTTTCTCCCGGCCCTCATAATTAATGCCACTTTCAAGATTTCTTAATTCCCTCAGCCCTTTTCTCTGCCCCGAGCTTCAATGACTACTACCACCCTTAGATGCAAACCCGCACTCCCTCCTAGACCTAGACTTCTTCCCATTCTTCCTAACTAGTGACAAACCAAGAGTGTCAAGTAATTGTGTAAAGTAAGGCACATCTCCCTCCCCCAAAGGAAAAGACACATACATTCTCATTTTCCTCAACCACTTTTTAGATTCATCACTGTCATTCCCAAGAACATCATTCCTCTCAAGCCTATGATTAGTAGACACTTCCATCGGAAGATCATCCCTATGCTTTCCTTGTTAATTGCATGTGGGTTCAAACACTGGCAAAAGAGCTACTAGCAAATAACTTAGGCAAATTGTCATTCTTGGTAGAAACCACTCTACTAGGATGTGAGAAAAAATGACCCAAGAGTGACTCCCCCCCAAAAACTGACTCAGATTGAATGCACTGAAGATGATTAGGAAGTGAAGAGTTCATGTTATCTTCGTCAAAAGAGTCACATACCTTTTCCCCATAATCAAAGCCTTCCTCACCCTTAGTCCCCACAGTGTGCTTAATACAAGAAAAAAACAATACCTCCTCTTCATGGAATAGCCAATTTAGGTTCGGATCAAAGGCTTCGACCCTCTCCTCCTTGTTACAGACTTTGACCTCCTCATCCGGACCCAAAGATTGATTCCCCTTCCTCCCATTTCTCTCTCTACCCTCTTCTTCTGAACCCATTGATGACAGCCATCAAGGGCACATGCAATGGCAACCATCATCACCACCTCACCAGCACTAAATCTCCATCGCCACCATGACCACTTCCCCAATTAACAAAACGCTTAAATCATTGTCAAAACCCAAATCTTGTGTGTATCTTTGAAGAACTTGAGTGGAACAGAAAATAAAGTTCCAACAACTTTCATTGAAATGATGTTTTCCCCATCATATGTGCACCTTGACTAGATGACAAAAAATTCTTGTCATCACTCTTGATAAAAAACAGTTTGAGTAAGACTACAAGGGCAAGTATGGAGTAGCCAGACAAACCACAAGACCAGCTAAATGTCAATAATATAGATTACAACCTAACCTGTCAAGTACCTTTAGAATCATGTGAGTACTCACCATCCCCCAAACTCCAAATAAGTTTGCATTTAGAGCTTATTAGCGTTGTATGATAGTTTTTCTAATTTTTAATAATCATTATAATAGTAATACAACACAAGACATATTATTTTTGAATTTTTTAAAGACAACAGTTAGCTTATTATTTTCAAATTTACATATCTTAACACAACTTAACAAGCTATTACAAGTATCAAGAATATGAATCATTCTTCTCCTTCCTCTTTTTAAATTAGATTATCTTGTTCTAAGGCCATAACATGTGTTGGACCCTAGATCATCATGGCTCTCACAACTTTGATCCACATTCCTTTAGTATTTAGACCTCTCTCTTATCTTTCTACCATCTTCAACTTGAACAAAATAAAAACCAATTTGGTTCTCCACAATTAAGATATTCAAAGAAGTAGAAAAGGCATTTCTTTCATCACAACTAGTATACCTGCTATAATTTTTAAATTGGTCACACAGTAATGCTAATAATGTAATTTCAAACTTAGGTAGCAATCCTAGGACACCCTAGTCAAATGATTTCTAGAACAGAGGCCAATGTTTTTTAGGCCTCGCTTTAGTCCCTCTAGCATCCTTTGCCTGAAGCATATAAAACCTTTTTGATATCTTAAAATGGCCTTGTTTGGGAACCCAAGTTTGGGGTTAAAATAGCCTCAAATACTAAAAAAACCAAATAGCCTCAAACAGTAGCCTAAGCTACTGACCTATATTAAAAATTTTAAAAAAAAAGTGAGGTCAGGGACAGCCTTCCACTGTCACATTGACAGCTTATCCCACAGGTAATAAATGACAATTTTGCCCCTTTAGACCAATTTTGGAAAAAGTGAGATTAGGGACAAATTTGTCATTTCAGCCTCAAACACATTTTTCAATACAACAATCAACAAAAAAAATTAAACACAACTTCCCAAACACAAAAATTAAAATAGCCTACTAAAATAGCCAAAAAGCCAAAAAAGTAGCCACTTCCCAAACAAGGCCGATGATACATTGAAGAAGCTAAATAAGTTTTCATTTAATTTCTCACATGTTATTCTTGTCTAATAGCTAACATGGTCCAAGCATTCACACGAACCATTTAAGAAAGTCATTCCCGACACAGGCTATTTTGCATGGACTCGGATAAAAATATCAGGCGAGGGTGCGTGTCCAACATCTAACATACATAAACCTAAATCTTAGGTTATTGGGATATATATCCAAAAATTAGATTTGAGTACACGGACGACAAGTGATGGACACTCATATATATATATATACATATATTGCATATTGACATATGTGAGTTTCTTCTTCAAATATCATAAAAAGATTTAAGGACCCAAGTGTCTAAATTGAATACGGGCGTCAGATACATATCTCAAACTCTTACCCTTGCCATATTTGGTGGACACAGATACTTTGGGAGAAACAAAAGAGTTGATATACACAGAACACAAGTAACATCGTAGAGCATTTGTATTTCCTTATCCATCAAATTCCCACTCTGATAAATAGTTCAGATACATAATATTTCATTATAGCATTACTTCCTGTCTTGGCCTTGGCAGCTCTTTCTGAAGAAGCAGCTGTGGCATAAAAATATATCCACAAATTTAACTGCTAGCTTCTTGTATACCCATACATATCTGCATATAATTCTAACTACCAAGGTGAACTTCATGTGCTGTATTCAGGATTAAACCAACCAACATTTGGAAATTACCTTAATTCTATATATATAGATATTCATTTCGGCAGGTCTAATTTTTAAAGAAACCTTTGGCCCACAACCCTAATTGCCTTCTTGTGGATAGAGTGTTTATCGAGCAAAAGTTGATTTTACATAGCAAAAAACAGAGAATGGCTCACAAGAATGATAAAGTAATAATGTAAGCTTACTTGAACATAGGTCATGCATCCAACAGTGCAGTTAATAGTAGACCACTATGTGCTCTATACTCCTTGCAGATAATTTTGAAGGCAACGTCGTTACTTGCTATGCCAAATCTCAATTTAGTGCACGGAAATCCTTTTCCTTGGAAATAAAACATAAGAGTGGTTTCAAACAATAGAATATACTATCTATACATGAATGGAAAACAAGTTCAACTTCAAATTCTTTTTAAAAAAAAGTTCAAGCTTAATGCATACATCAATAATCAGGAAAGCTTAAATTTAATTCGCTGAAACATGTGCATTTTCTTCTCCCTCTAAATGATTCCCTTAGAAACAAATGCAGCTGAAAGCGAATTACCTCGTTTAAAAATTACATAACTATATTCTATAATCAGCTCAGTTTGTTAAGGCATAATTTTTTGCCGCATAAATCTTTCCATTCAACTCCTCATTTATATAATTATATATACACACACATATATAAGCATGAAGCAAGCACAAAAATCTATCAAGATCATTTAATTAGCTCCCTGATATGATTAAGTCTTCACACTTCAAAGCAATTTCACAGGGAAATTTAAATTTTTAGGCTTTTTATTTATTTATAGGTAAAGTGAATTATTATAAACCAACAAAACCAGAGTACATCTATTCCTCAGGCATACCAATTTTTAGGCTTTTTGACATGAAAATTGAGATTAAAATCAGGAGAGAGAGAAACAAACTGTAGCCAGAGAAGTTTGCGATTTTCTCAGGAAAGATTTCCGAAAAAACAATCTATCAGAAATAAACGAAAAACCCAACTAACAAAGCAGAGATCATGCATCGAAATCAATACCCACCAAAGTTACAAACGCACCCAATTCAATTCTTACATCTCTTCAATCAATCTAAAGGATGCATATAAATCTATATATATATATATATATATATATATTGTCCCTTATCCACTTATCTTGGATTCCGATATCTTCGGAGGCAACCTCGGCCTAGCCGAGATGACCTCGGCACAACGACCAAAACACGTGGCACCTCGGCTGACACGTCGGCGTCACCTTGCCACGTGTTGGTACTCAGAAAATATATCCCCACAGAGCCTCTCTCAATCATCTATATACATGGAATAGAACCAAACAATTATAATCTGCCTTTTGTGGATGTAATATCCACATCCAAACAATTTTTATTTTGTATTTTTCACTGATATGGTATTTAGAAGGAATAATATTATAAATTCACCCTTATTAATTTAGAAAGAGAGATTTATTAAAAAAATATTTTTTAAGTATTTTGTATCCCCATTGAAGAAAAATTATTTATAAGTCTTATTAGGGAAACTTATGCTACATATGATCCTACTAAAAAACTTATATTCCTATAAGTGCTGTGCGAAATTTGTTAACACATTTATCCTTAATATTAGTTGTTAATATCATAAATAATTGTAAAACGGAAAATGTTTGGTAGCTTAAAATTTTGTGGCTCAAATGGCTCAAATCTGTCAAAACGACGTCGTTTTAAGTGATTTGAGCCATTTGAGTTACAAAATTTTGAGCTACCTAGCATTGTTGTTGTAAAACTATATATAGGAAATTGAATATTACCATAGATCATATCTATATAAAGGTAACGTAACGTGACACCTATATAAACGTAACATGGCATATCTACATAAACGTAACGTAACGTAACGTGGCACCTACATAAACGTAACGTGACACCTATGATTTATGGTAACATTCAATTTAAGAATTTGAATGTTATCATAGATCATATCTACATAAACGTAACGTAACGTGACACCTACATAAACATAACGTGACACCTACGTTTCATATTTATACGAAACGTAACGTGACACCAACATAAGCCAGCAACATTTTCACATTCAATTTTAAAAAATAAAAACTCATTAAGTTTGCGAAACGCAACGTGACACGTTACGTTACGTTTATATAGATGTCACGTTACGTTACGTATATTTAGGTGTCACGTTACGTTACCTTTATGTAAGTATCACGTCACGTTACGTTTATGTAGGATCTTGTGGAATACATTCCTATTTAAATAGGACTTGAAACTCTATAAGAAATTACACGGGACTTAGTTTAGCATAAGTGTCTGAAAATGACTTATAAATAAGTCTCCTCCTAATTAATCCATAAGATATTCTTGTATTTCAATAAGTCCTATCAGTTGATCTACCAAATCTTAATTCTCATATTTAAGGTATTTTATGGACATTTCTATCATTACAAATATTTTTTGAACGGTTAGCAATTTAGTGATGTGAACATTCATATTTTACAATGTGAATATTCACATATGTGAATATTCACATTGACGATGTGAATATTCACATCACAGAATATTCACACTGTAAATGTGAATATTATTAAGAGTATTTTGGTAACTATGTCACTCATAAAACTTATTAGAATATAAGAAAATAATATAAATTAAATGGAACATAAATAGGTCAAAAAAAATTATGAAAAAGTGCCCCGTTTAGAAATTATTGAGAAATTAATTTTTATTACATTTTATATAAATTTTATATTATAAAAATTAACCTTTATCATACAATTATTTATTCAAAAAATTTTAGGTGCGTAAGCTTGAGTTACCAGACTTTCCCATTTGAAAATTGGATAGGTGAACAGCTTTTTTTTTAGGGCCATTTTTTGATAAGTCCTATTTATAACTGTTTTGTTCCATAAAACCCAAACTGTTTCTGAATATTCCATTAGGTCCATTAATTGTTAAAGGACGAAATACCTAAAATAATAAGATTTGTTGATTTAATGTTATTTTGGGTATGATTTATTTTTAAATTTTTTTATTTATTACGGAAAAAAGTATATAAAAAAAAAAGAAAAAAGAAAATTATATAATGTAATAGAAATAAACCCATAAGAAACTTATTTGAAGTGTCCCAAAAGAGGTATTAGATTATTAAAGGAAAATTTGGCTATAAACCCCCTTTATTTTCCTTTCATTGTTAAAAGGATTAAGAAAAAAATTATTTTTTAAACCCCCTCATAATTATAAAGTCTTACATAAAAGAGAAAATTTATTATTTAAATATTTTATCAGACTATTATACCCTCAACTAAATCTTCACACCTTCTCCACCCACTCTCTCCCCACCTTCTCTATCTCTCTCCTCCACTTCTAAACATAGTCTGAGGTGATCAAGAAGTCGAACAACGGCTCCGACCTCTGGCGAGACAATCTGAGGCGACTGATCTGACGAAGGCGAAAAGATTGGTTTGCAAGCTCTACGCGAAGGCTACGGCGGCGATTGTCATCGGACTCCAGCTATAGATATATATATATATAGAGAGAGAGAGAGAGGCAAATATATGGAGGTGCGTTTACCATTGCCACCGATTTAACGTTCAATACCAATCTAGGATTCTAGATCAATGCTGTCTCGGCACTCCAGGAGGCGATAAAGGCGTGTGTTTGGTGGAGTTGTTTGATTATACATATTTTTCTCATACACAAATCTGAGTTTTGAATATATATATATATATATATATTCGTGTATATGAGTGTCGTTGAACACATGTATTCTTTGAAATCAAAAGATGGAGAGATATTTGGATGTGTTCTCTGAAACGATTGTCCGAATGATTTTGTAGAAGATTGAACTTTGGTATACATGGATTTTTTTTTTTTTTAATCTGGCTGGTTGTTGATCTAATTTTTTTTATTTGTTGTTGTTGACTGGAACGTATAAATATTGTTGGAAAGAGAAACAAAGTGTCACGACCCAAACCCGGCCCTATGGGTTTAGCACCGTAACCGGCCAGTAATCCGAGATTACCGAAGGCCTGCTTAACAGTAATACAGTAAAACTCGAAATTTATTTCTCAAACATGGATGATGTGAACATTCACATTACTATTGATTGCTGGGTAATTTTAGAGTAGTACACACTGATGTGAACGTTCACATCATGTGAAAACACTGTGATGGAGGATGATGAAAACATTGACATTGTGACATCAATGCCCAAGTTGTTTGTGTTATTGGGTGTAGTTTGGCTCTGTTGGTTCCCCCCTTTGATTTTTAGAAAATTATAACATAATGTGATCAACCATGTAAGCATTCACATTGGCCAGTAAATGTTGTCGTGTTCGAAATTTATTTCTCAAACATGGATGATGTGAACATTCACATTACTATTGATTGCTGGGTAATTTAAGAGTAGTACACACTGATGTGAACGTTCACATCATGTGAATGTTCACATTAATGTCAGAACCCCCAAACTTCACTCAACACTGTGATGGAGTGTGATTTAAACATTGACATTGTGACATCAATGCCCAAGTTGTTTGTGTTATTGGGTGTAGTTTGGCGCTGTTGGTTCCCCCCTTTGATTGTTAGAAAATTATAACATAATGTGATCACCCATATAAGCATTCACATTGGCCAGTAAATGTTGTCGTGTTCGAAATTTATTTCTCAAACATGGATGATGTGAACATTCACATTACTATTGATTGCTAGGTAAATTTAGAGTAGTACACACTGATGTGAATGTTCACATCATGTGAATGTTCATATTAATGTCAGAACCCCCAAACTTCACTCAACACTGTGATGGAGGATGATGAAAACATTCACATTGTGACATCAATGCCCAAGTAGTTTGTGTTATTGGGTGTAGTTTGGCCCTGTTGGTTCCCCCCTTTGATTGTTAGAAAATTATAACATAATGTGATCACCCATGTAAGCATTCACATTGCCCAGTAACTGTTGTCGTTTTCCGAATTTATTTTTCAAACATGGATGATGTGAACATTCACATTAGTATTGATTACTGGGTAAACTTACAGTAATAAACACTGATGTGAACATTCACATCACTGTATAATGATGTCAATGTTCCAATTACTGTCAATGCTGGTTGTTGAATGTTGTTTGTTGCTTCGAGTTCCATCCTCTGTGTTTCAACCAATTACATGTGCTCATTTGAACACACAGGTCTTCCCCATAAAGTTCATGGCAAGCGAAAGCGAGGGGAATCCCGTTTGAAAACCAAGCCTGATCAAACAGCTATTCCGGAAGAAGTGAACATGAAAAAAGTGAACTACCGGTCAAATCTAACTGGACTGGTCAAACTGTTAAAGGATACCAAATTTACAAGTGGCCAATTGAAGTGCCTTAGGAAAACACCATTCTGGCCATTATTTGATAGGTTGATCAGTAACGGAATCGACCTCAACCACTGCATGAAATATGATGATGTGATTGTACGTATAGTACAAACATTCAAGCAATCTAGTGGAAGGTTTTACATTGGGGATAAGAACATCCAGATTTTTAGAAGCGACGTATCACTGATTTTTGGGGTGGACTGCGGCACCAAGTCGATGGACCTCTCTTATGGTGCAAAACCAACAACCGGCATCATACACCGAATGTGCAAGGATGTTAGCCGGTTAAGTGCTGCCAAAATACGAGAAATTCTGAGGGAAGCATTGAAGGGCACAAAAAAACATGACGATGAGGAGGTCGCAAGATTAGTTTGCATGTATGCATGCGTCAAGCTATTCTTTTCTACATCCGGAGAAACAATTGGATGGGTTTTCTACTCATACATGGACCCATTACACAAGATGATCGAGTATGATTGGGCTGAGAGCATCCGGGCAACCTTGATGGGTTCATTGGGCCAAAACTGTGGAAAACCAGGACGAGTCACCGGATGTGTGATGTTGTTAATGGTAAATCAAATCTCATACAACTTATTCTATGTTTAATATGAACATATACGGGCTCTGAACACTCTGATGTGAATGTTCACATTTCTCAGCTTTGGTGTGGAAGTTGACAACATTGATGAAAACATTCGCATTACTGTTTCAGTAATGTACAAACACACATTAGTAGATGCTGGTGTAAACATTCACATTAACAGATATGAACATTCACACCAGTTGTACCACTCACATTACCAGATGTGAATATTCACATCAGGTACATCACTCACCATTAGCAAAATGTGAGCATTCACATAGTAATAACACTGACATGAACAGATGTGAACATTCACATCAGTAGTATCACTCAACATTAGAAAATGTGAACATTCACATCAGTAACATTACTCCACATTAGCAGATGTAAACATTCACATCAACGGATGTGAACATTCACATCAGTTTTAAGTGATGTAAACATTCACATTACTGGCCTAGTGGTGCACTGTGAACATTCACATTACTGAACCAGTGGTGTAAACATTCACATAAATGTTAATTCATATCCACATTCAAATTACTGATATTTGTTATTTGTTTCAGAATTGGCTGTGTGAGCATACAACAATCTTACAACCCCGCAACCCCAATGCCATTCCACGATGCGTAAAATGGGACCTCACAGCCTTACATAGCAACATGAAGTCCATAACTCTGGCTAAGCTAGGTTTAAATGAGGTAGAAGTACAACCAAATATATTGTGCTTATTCACATAGTAAACGAGGAACTATCTAACTAACATACTGTCTCGAAATGCAGGTATATGGCGGCGAGCTAATGGCATCACCAACTGAAACGAAGATGCATCGTCATACAAAATTGAATGTGGAGCCAAAACCTGAGATTTTGTCAAGTGCAGTAGCAAAGAAAGATGAAAGCAATGAGGATCAAAGCAAAGACAGTCAACACAGTGATGACAGCGATGGGTAAATTTAGAGTAGTGCACACTGATGTGAACATTCACAT